TAACAACAGCACTCATAACTTTCTCTAGATATTCTCAAATCAGCAGGTTTTCTGTACCTGAATTCTATTTAAAAAAAATACTGCTGCAAGATTCTGAACAGGATCTGGATTTGACTGTTTATTTCCTCAAACAGCAGAATGAAGAAACAGTGCAATGTTTGAGGCAGCTAACAAGAGGTTGCAAGAACTTCCCCGGCACCGGCTTTATCTGTGGCACTCACTGGTCAACTCCTTTTTACGTCCGAAGACCAAAACAGCACAAGTTGCTTTCTGCAATGACTAGTGCAGAAGGTTCCAGTTTGCCTTAATCCATCCATTCACAAATCTACCAGGAAGACAAGGGGTTTAATACCTCACATTAGTTCTACACAACTGCAGCACGGCTGCACAGCTCTTCATTTAGGTCAATTTTTCTATCACGGGGAAAGCCCCAGATAAAAACAAAGTTGTAATCTCATTTGACACAATTCTCGAAATCACTGCGGGAAGCCAGGGTAGACCTAACTCAGAGTTTAGCTGCAGGTCCTACTCAGAATGAAGATACCTTTTTTTCCTATCCCAGGTCAATGGGCCCTTCCCCGATAGCTAGATCTGTGATGGAACAGAAATCAGTGGATGCATCTTATTTCAATACAACAAACTACCACTCAAAGAGAAAAAGATTTGAAATAAGGGAAATTGATGACAGATTTTTTTTTAGCTCATGCAAACCTGTCTGATTTTTTTTTTTTTTCCCAAATCACTTCAAGATTAGCTGATTAATTCAATGAAAAAAAAATTTATAACTCTTCTGGTTGAAATTGGATTACTCTAAAATAGATCAGCATCTGTCTGCAGACCCCTGCTCTAGGTTTTATGCAAGAGTTTTCTTAGGGGCAGTTAGTTCACCTTGCACAATTCAACCTAGCAACTGGTCCATTTAATCAGACTTTACAATGAGCGTCAGACTCACTTAAGAGTTCTTTTCCCTCACCGTGTTTAAAGCTTTATTTTCATGAAATCTTTCACCTTGCCAGTACTTTCCTCCCATATCTATTCCTTTATCTAAGACAAGTGGCCAAAGGCACGTGACAGTCCTTAGAAATCCACATCGCTTTTTGGGAGTCTCCGATCATAGCACTGGCAGTAATATTGAAGTCAAAGTGATCAATGCTTTGTAAGATAAGGCTGTCCAGAATTTAAAGACCACATAAGGATTCATCGTCAGGAAATACGATTTCCTACGAACAGCTGCAAAGCAGCTACACCTCACATCCAACAGCAGAGTTTGGATTTCAACAGCCTGTATATTTCCAAGTGAGTTTCTAAGGGATGGGGGGGAAAGTGTTCCATCTTTCAGGGAATGTGCCTTAAAATTTTAATTTTATAGTTGGATGAACTCAATTCTCAGAGCAACAAAACTCTCTGGAAACAAGTCTAAATAAGTCAAGATGATACAGATTCCAATGGTAAGAAAGGTCTGATGTTCTCGCTTAGAAGAGTATTTCACACAATAAAATCTCTCCTAATGTCACATTAAGGACTGTTAAGATTATTGTTAGTCAAGTTTGCTAACTTGCAGGTAAAATAACTTTCAACATCAACAAGACTGTTGATTTGATTGTCTGCTAGGCTGTCCTATTAGAAAATATCTTGACAAAGAAGCAGGGCCAGTTCAGGATGACAGATCAATAGACCCTTTTCTGTAGCTGATCTGCCCATACGTCTGCAGTGTAAATACTGCACCTTCTTTCCAACTCTCCACTGTTTCCAAGAAAACACCAAAAGAATGAGTCAGCATAACGAGCTGATGCTCCAGATGTAATATACATAGTTAGGCTGTCTCGAACTAGACCATCTACTTCTATCAAGACAAACTATTCCTGCTTATGTGGCAGAAAAAACCCCCTCCGTCCCCCAGTTGTAATTCATTCTTTTTTAAAAAAGATACGGTAAAATCTTGAGTTAAACATCATTAAAAACTGTGTAGCACTTCACACTATAGGCTTATCCTATGTTCTTATTTACCATGTCATCTCTTGCACATGCATTTCTTGTCCAATGGCTGTCACGTTGCTGCTGCTCTTGACTCAAGAGGCAGCTGCCTTTCAAAATTGTCAAATTATTGGAAAAACAGCTTGAGAACCTTTGGAATAAAACTGCCCTATGAAACTCCAATATTGCTTAGAGGAGAGAACACAGATGGATCCGATTTCCAGAGAAGAACGATGGGAGAAGGCACAAAGTCCTCTTACGATTGGCTGCCTCTACTCCCTTTATTTTACTCATACAAAACAGATTTTCAGTCTAAACTAACAGAGTCGTGGAAATAAAAATATGGAGGAATGCATAATGTGCATTTGTGCGAATTCAAATTGCTTGTGAATTTTGAAGATAACTTGATCTAGAGGGAAACAATTACGGAAAGAACCTGAATACTTCAGATTCTTAAAAACATCATTACTGTGTTTTACTGTGACAAGAATAGTCACATACAGCAACGCTATTTATAATTTCTGAAAATAATCATATACAAGTTTTATTTACATACAGCTTCCCACAGATGTCTCATCTAAAAAACTGGCAAATAAGTAACTTTTTTGTTTTAAAAAGGAACCAGCTAGATGGCAATTTAAATTTCCTACAACTCGTTCTTTCTGATCCAAGTAACTTGGTTCTTATTCCTACACCTGTGATACAAAACACAGAATTAACTGTGTTGATACCTGAGTATTTTGTATAAGGCAGTATACCTATACAGTCAATGTATTATTTAACTAAAATGGTGTCCAAATACCAAAAATATCGTAACAGTTGTCCACCTACAATTCATACAGATTATTATCAGCAACATCGACCCTGTTGCAAGTTATAAAAAAAATGGTTATTCTCAATGAAAAGGTTCCTTTTATGGCATACTGCACCTTTAACCATAACACCTGTTTACACACAAATATTTCCAAATAGAATAGGGACTTAGGGAGAGACCACAAACTTTTTAAACAACAGGAAAAGTGCAAACACTACTTTGTCACCCACTTTTCTTATGTCCTTTGTACTGTTGCGATTTAGCTTTTTTCTTCTGTTTTGATGAACTTGACTGGCTATCTCTTGATGCTGCAAAAAATTAAGAATTCAAAATTAAAGTTTAGTATTTTGGAAAAACACTTCAGAATGTGTCAAAGCTGCTACACAGCTCCAGAATTTCTCCTTAGTGACTGAACGAAGGCAGAATACCTTTATTGTGGGAAAAGCCTCCCATAAAACTACTAACACTAACTACTATTACTCTCCTATTAAACAACTAACAGTTCTCGAAATGCAGTTATCAGTTATTATCGTATAAATTGACCTGACAGGACAAGTCTTGATGCACTAAATAAAATAGTCTTCTCGCATAAATACTTCCGCGCACGAATAGCTATGCACACACTGAGTTCCCTCAAATTCAGTATGTAAAGCGTACATATTTGCAATCTTAAAGCAATAAAAATCCTCAGTGATATTAACCAGAACTGATGAGTAAGAAACAGGCTTTTTCCCTGGATCAAATAAGCATATTCTGGCATTAAAAAATAGTAAGTGGCCACAGAAACGCCCAGAAGAACTTTAGAAGTCAAGGTGGAAGAGACTAGAACTGTGTATTTCTAAGCATTAGCAAGAATTTGTTCTATTTTTGTTATGCCTGGTGACCTAACTTGAAAAGGATGAAGTTAGCAAAACCATCACACACGAACAAGGACCAGTAAGCAACTGTTACATCGCTTACAAAACAGGAACTTACACTGTGGCGCTGGAGGCTGTAGCTGATACCCAGTTAGCTGACACCATCCCACTGGATAGAGGTCTGGGGACTCGCAGTCCACCCACTGATCATATTCATCTTCCCACCCATCGAAGTGTATCCTCAGAAGACGATGGATAATGCGAGTTACTGTGGCCACACACACCAGGCGAGGTTCCATCAGATCAACAGCCTCCAGTTTCATTCCCACATGAAAGCCATGGTTTGGAACTTCCTGGAAAAGCAAACACAAAGGCAGCAAACATCAGTAAACAAACGTGTTAATTAAAATGGTTTAAGCACAGTGTTGAAGTGAATATTTCGTTCAACTTAATGTAGGAAAATACCAAGTATCATTTATGAAGTTTCACATACCCCTGTATTTACGCAACATTTCAGAAACATTCAAGCTTAATATACTCAAATGGTTCTTATTTTTAAAAGTGTCTGTTGTCTTAGCTTTTCAAAATTGGATTTAATGAAATGGGTCAATCCCACGGACTACACAGACAGAAATTTAAAGATAATACTAATTACAATTTAAATACACATGTATAATGTTTATTACCTTATTGAAAAGCTTTACAGGTGCTGCTATTGAGTCAGTTTCCCTGAGGTAGTCAAACCATTTAAAAGGGAGTTTTGCATAACCTGTGAATTTTAAACAACATTTTCATACATCAGCTGCAAACTTCATGCATAAGAACAACAACAAAAATAGTATATTGGCACTGTGTTATGGCTAAAAAGACAACAAAGAAGCAAAACATTAACATCAGAAACTTCCACTCTGAGCTTTGGTTTAAGGGACAAGACAGTCATCTGGACATTGCCCATTTGCAACAAACAAGGTGAATGAACCTCTGGATAATATAGAAAGTGTCATTCAATGTTGAGATTAATCGTTCGTAATTGAAGCTTTCTGTCCGCGTAGGTCCTTGATCTCTACAATGCCCCACACAAATGACCCAGAACAGATCATGAAATTAAGCACATCCAGTGTCTTTCCTGTGGGGAAAGAGCTCCACTATTGAAACACTTGAATTGTTAGGAACAGAGTGGTAAGAACAAGCATGGATATTTTAAAACGTAAATAAGGCTAAAAATAGCAATAATATGGAAAATTACAAGATTTTTTTTTCAATCTTAAAAGCTATTATAAATGGAAGAAAATAATCTCTCAAATATATTTAGCTTTTGTTCATCTACTGAACATGCATAAAACACGCAGGACTATTTTTTACTTTGGGCAACTTCTACAACTGCTTAACCCAACAATTCTCAAATTCGAGCTGGAGCAACAATAGCTTGAAAGATTCCTTTGTAGCAGTATGCCACGGCAGACATTCTGAAAAGACTGCAGCGCAGCGGGCATGGCACGGGGAGCTAAGGGGAACGGCTGGATCTCATCTAAGCGGGGGTGGAGAGCTCCCGCTGAGTCGTAGCTCAGTATTGCAGGGCCAGGCTCAGGAGGTGGCTAACACTCACAGCCCAAAATGCAATCCTGTTCTTGAAAGTGTCTAAGCATCTTCGTCTTCTACTGATTTCAGCATGAGATGAAGATGTTTGGAAGGAACGAGCTTACAAAGTCCAATGATTTCACAGCAACTTATTTAAGATATCCACACTGCCAAATGTAATTGGGAAAAGGGTGTTCACGTGAGGTATGTAATATCTGCATGAACAAATGTAGCTGGATAGCTAACAATTAATAAGGGTAATAATGTATCAGTTCTACGTATTAATGCTTTTCGTCTTAATGCACAGTTCCTCTGGCTAGACCACTGTATTTGTACGCAAGTCCTTTAATTAACTTCTCGCCACACACACTAGAGATATGTGCACGTGGTCCTTGTCAGAGTAATCAGAATTAAGAAACTGTCCATTTTCAAGCCCAAAATTTGGAAAGCAAAATACACCTCTCGTAAGAGCCAAGAAGCTTTGATTGCTTTGATCCTATTAAGTATGTTAATGTGCATTATGTCCTGTATTTTACTCCTGTTAATTCCTCTTTCAAATGACTTTTAGCTTATTGCACGAGTGATTTATAATCGCCTCTCAGTGGATGATACAGGACTGTTACGGAAAACTGCAATAAAAGGGAAAATATAGACGTAGATAAAGAACAAGGTTGCCACGATACAAGAAACACAGAAGTATCATAAATCTGTTAACAACAAAATTCACATACTGTTGTGTAAGTAGTGTTTGAAGAGGAAAAGTTTCATCATAGAAGGGAGGTTTTTTCCTATTCTGTATCATCGATTTAATGTGTTTATTTCTAAATTGATTGATATGTATTGATATGCATGCTTTTTCCTCCCACAAAAACTCTTCCTATTGCAGGAGACTCTTGCACCACATATTTCTGAGGGGTGATTACGCCCATGAATTTCTAGGCAATAAATTCACTAAATGAGTTGACTGAAAAAAAAAAAAAAAATAGTAAATCTGTCCAACTGCACTTTCCACATACTCAAAGATGACAGATTCATTAGTGTGCAATAATGAAAATGATATGAAATTAATTTTCTTCGTGTTGCATTACACTGTCTTTGTAGTTATTACCTAGAAAAATAATTCAATAAATTCAAGTAGAAGCCTGCAAGAATGAGAATGGAGAAAAAAATCCATAGAAAACCATCATTATCTGCTGTTACCCAGCTAGTTACAATCCTCTTTATAAACTGCTAGACCAAGACAACAAAATGGAAAATGAAGGCAATACAGTCTTCTGTAGGCATACGTGCTAGTGGACAGACAGCTTTTTCTCACAGAAGGGATTACGCAGCATACAGCTCTAACGGCTGCTTCCTCGAAGCTCAAGTTTGCGCACATTCTTCAAAAAATTAACAGGTGTTGTTGCGAATTAGCCTAAGTCTGAGATTCTTTAATCCTTTCGTTAATCCTTTTGGTGGCCAGGGCTTCCCAAGCAATGGCATATTCTGAACAGTCCTTTCAGTGACTAGCATACTTCCCATTCACTTAATGGATATACTATTCAACTAGCAACTACCCTCAATTTCTCACAGCAAAAGCAAATTATTTTAGCCAGAGAATCAATCAGATGTTCAATTTGACTTTTTCTAAATGAAAAGTTTGTTATCTCTGTTTTAGATTACTTTGATGTTATGCTGTTGCATTGGTTTCAGACTTGAGAAAGTCCTAAAAAGTGACATGAATTTTGTAGACTGAGTTAAGAAACAAAGCATATGGCACATACAATATCACTGAAAAATATTCAAAATAAAATGTGGTCAGAATGCTATATGTACCTCTGGGTGGAGTTAGTTCAATCATGTTAATTTCACAGAAACCAACAGGGAAAATAGAAGGGGAAGTGGCATGGTAACAAAACCAATCAGACCCATCTGCTGCTTCTGAGCCATCAATCCCAATCATAAGATAGCCATCTGCTAAAACCTTTGTGAAGAAAAACAAAATTTTACATTAAATACCTTTAACTGCGTGATAAGGCTAGAAAGAAAGCATGCCATGTTTCAAAAGAGTGAAAAATAACTCAATAATAATGGAAGTACACTTAGAAGGACATTCAATTATAACAAAACAAAAAACCCCAACTCATACCTGTCTCCAAGATGGTGTGTGCTATTGTCAAATGTACCTTTAACTGCATAGTTATGAGAGATGAACATTTCCTTTTTCTGCTCTCTAGTTTATTTCTCTTGTGAACATCAGTTCTACTTCTAAAGCTTCATAATTCAGTCTACTCTTTAGCTTGCAAGGATATTCTGCACACCATTAATAAGAAAAAAAGACTTGAAATCATAACCACGCTCCTCATTGGTAAGGTTATGCAATTCTGCTAAGCTACTTTTTACATTTTGTTCCTCTTTTAAAAGAGATTTCACAAGGATGGGATCCCTTTCAATCAAGCTAGGAAAAAAGTACATCCTTAAAATGTCTTCATAGACTTCTGCAAGCGAGCAAGATGAAGTTTCTTTCTGAACAGTTGCAAAACATTTGGTATAATTAGCAGAAGATTGTCCAGCAAATTAATCTCACAAACATACTACATTCTAATTAAAGGTAAGGCTGAATTTCCACAGAAAAAAAAAAGTTACATGAGTAACACAAAATAAAAAAAAAGTTACATGAATATTCTTTTTCATAGCAGTGGTATATAAAGAATTAATGGACGTATTCCATAAACATTCACTGTGTGAACGAACTGCATTTATTATGTTTTCAAGTTTTTTGTTTCAAACCTGAATAAAGGTGAGTGAATAAAAGTTTCCTATCTACCTTCCCAAAATACACATTTGTTTCCTTACCTTTCTAATAGTTGCCACACATATTGCCGAAAGGTTTAAGGGGTCTATAGCTTCCAATTTCATTCCTTCTTTAAACCATTCTCCAGCTGCGTCAACCTCTTTTACCTAAAGAATCACATAACAGGACCAGAAGCTAAGAATCTATTAACCCTGGAACAAAATATAACCCCACACCGTCAAAGCAACAGATTGAAATACCTGTTCTATCGTCTCTGCTTATGTCAAGGAGACCAAATTAGGTTTGAATAAAAAAAAGTAATGCTTGTGCTGGGCGCAGAGTTTCAGGTCTGCTTTACACACACTAGGAACTAAAGGTCCTCAGTCAACTGAGAAAACAGTGTTCTTGCCAGCAAACTCACCTTCATAAATAAATGTGGGGGTGCATCAAAATGTCCCTCCTGTTTCTTTGTAATATCTGCAAGGAATATTAGTACATATTATTCAGAAGTTTTGTTAATAGAGCAGACGGTATGTTTTTCTGAATGTTAACTAGCACAACGCAATCATATTATTGGTGTGGGAGGCCACAGTTATAATAAGACTACCACAAAAGTCTCGAGGACATAATCCATCTATTTTCCTTATTGACTTCTACCTGAATTACCTCCATAACAGAATCTCATTTATGGAAAAAAAAAAATCCAATATTTACAAGACCACTTGATTATGTAACAAAATTGATACAAATATACACAGAAGCTTTTGCAAAACATTGGCAAGTCAACTACTTCACACTATGTTATGACAGAAAATTATAGATTTGTTTATATAATTATATATAATCACTTTAAATACATGTATGTAGCCGGTTTTAGCCAACTGTTGAATACTACTTTCCAAGGGGAATCCCCGGCACTGTTAGAGACATTATTTCTGGTAAGTAGCACTGTCCTTGATTGCCCTAACTACTCAGTACTACAGTACTGCTTAAGTCAGTCTTCTCCGAGCCAATGCTGCCCACAAAGACACCTCTAAAACACAAGCAGCTTACCAGATCTTTTGAATCTGTGTCCTATACTTCGAGACCAACCAATATGATGAATGAGCGGACTGTACATATGGCACCAGAAGTCATCGGTTTTGTCTTCGCTTTCTTCATACACCAATCTTAACCGTCCCCCAATGACACTTTCCACAACTGCTACCCTTGTTCGACAAAGGTGCGTTTTGTCAACAACTTCTACTCTCATGGAAGTTTTGAATGGATACTGCATACTCTCAGACACCTTAAAGTAACAGGAAAAAAAAAAAATCATTCTGTAAGAATATACAGTTTTCTCTTTGTCATCTGTCTTTGCTATTATAGCGCAGTATCAATGCACTTCTCATTTAATTCAAGTACTTGTTAATCAACCTGCAAAAATGACACAAATTATTTCTCTTACATTTCATTGTACATGGGGAAAAATGAAATGTTTCAGAAAACTAAGTAGAATAGATGCTACAATGCTTTAATTGTATCAAAGTACAGCCCCTAATACAATTCTCACATAGATCACAGGAATTTTCCATTGACTTAATGAAAGTTTGTTCAGTTGTTAACAATGAATAAAATTATCTTGAGAAACAATTTTAACAAAAAAAACCCCCAAGATGGGGTTTTTTGCTTTGTCATCCACTCAAAACGTAGCACTTCAAAAATAGGATTAAAATACTTTATTATAAAAGGCATGGAAAACAAACCTTCAACATAATTAAAGCTAGTCACTCACAAACATATTTCTTCATAATATACCAAAAAGAAAGAAAGAGAATGGAAATAGATGTTAATCTCCCTGGTGACAATACATTCTGTTTAAAAATCAGTATCTGTCACTTGCCATTTCCATTATGAACTCCTCACAGTTTTGAGATCTTGCCAATTTAATCTGGCTTCCAACTGAGCCAATTTTTAAATAGAAATGAACAACTGCAGAAAGGTTTGTGGTTTTGTTTTTGTTGGTTTTGGTGGTGGGTTTTTTTTTTTTAGTATTAGATGCAGTGTAAGATAACAAATAAGTCTCATATTCCTACTAAAAGCTAGGTACCATCTCACAATATTAGTAAATAAACTTAGAGCACACTACACAGGCATCTGCCACACTTAAAGACATGACTTAAAGACAGCAAAAAAAAAAAAAATCTACTCCAGAGCAGATGAAAAATACTAACATTTAAAAGTATGTACTTTATTGCATCTAGATATGTGCTATGTTAATACATTTTGTTCGGTTTCTTGAAATAGTGCATGATAAAAATCATTCCTGAATTAGAAAAATCAGTTTTAATTTTTCTTACGTATCACAGGGTAGCTTTTCAGCACTTTTTTTTTTTTTTTAATTGGGGTATTTTAAAATTAAAATAGACTAGCTAGTTTTTAAAGTAAATTACTTTCTGCTAGAAGAAACAGTTTTCCAAATACGTACTGACAAGTGTGGACATAAATGGAGAACAGAGATCCCAAGGAAAACTGTATTTCAGGGAAGAAACTACTGTATCATCTTCACTATAAAAGGAGCTAATGTGCCATTGTAAAATACTTCAGTTCTTCACATTGTGCTGCAATTTCGTTTATAGTACATCATTGACATTGCATCAGCCTTACCTTCTGAGAAAAGTCAGGAGGAAGTGTTTTGGCACCAGTAAGTCGTTTCACTAGAAAAGCTTTCCAGTTTGTGTATTTGTGTTGGATGGCTGTTGCAAATGAAGGGGAAAAAATAAGCCACTGATTTTTAATTGTGTCCATTAGAGACAATATTAGAGTCTGGAATATGTAAAGAAGAAATCCCAGATGACTGTTAAAAAGCCTGGATGACAATTATGACAAAAACCTCTTTAGAGAATGAATGCTACCCAAGATTAAGTTTATGGGTACGTCAGGGCAAAGAATTTAATAACGAAATATAAATAAAATCGGTGCATGTTCACATCACTGATTAGCTAACCGCTTCCACCTTGATCTTAAGAACTTTAAGTCACATCAGATGGGCTACTCCAAGAAACGCTTTCAGCATCAGTCAAGTCCTTATTTTTCCAAAAGTTAAAATAATTTATCCATAACTGTTGAAAGAAAGAATACTTTGATATCTGAACCATGAGCAAATTTAGTTTATTAATAAAGACTTTTATCTCAACCAGTAGGGCTACTATTTACATACTTCGAGGAGGGACTAGGGGCTTCCCACTGGTTGCGCACCAACCAACTGGGTGGATGTCAGACCCACAAACGTTGCACCAGAAGTCAAGACTCGAATCATTTTCAAAGCCTTCGTATCTTAGCAGCGCATTGTAGCCTGAAAGAAAGCAATCCCATTTAAAAAAGACAAAAATTAATCAAGATTATAAAAGATCTATTAATATTTCTTTACCAATCATAATGTATATTACGTCGGGTTTTCTAGACTAGAACTTTTTACAGAACATTATTCTTACGTCACCTTGCTGCATGTTATTAATGCACAGAATGGATTACGTTGATAAATGTGCGTGTGCTACCACGTAAGTCAAATTTTAATTAAAAGTTCTTTAACTATAAACCTGTAGAAGTTATATGTAGGAGGACAAAATTAATTACCCACAGTATCTGCTTTTTCATATCTCAGCTATGTGACCTTGAATTTTTAACGTTACTTTTAACCAAGAAAAGATTCGTATAACGAGGCTTACTTGCCAGCTATTATACAATTGCCTCTCTCCTCAGTCTGCACTGCTCTTACTGTACTCTGAGGCAATATAAAAAAAGCCCAGGTGTTCTCAAGCTTCACTGAAGCCACTGTAAAACTGTGTAACATAGTGACAGTACTAAAACATATAACCTATTGACACAGCTCTGACAACCTAACCAGTGTCAACATTCTGCTAACCAGGTGACCACTAAGTAGATTATTAGCTCCCTGCACACAGTTACTTTGATTATTTTAATAATTTCAACTCAAATATATTCACCTGCTAATTTTACAATTCCAGCTATCCAGAAGACTTTGGTAGGTAGGCTGCAGTCGGTGTTTGGAACCTCCACTCGCACTCCTTCTGAGATATCACCCCAGCATGTCCCCATAGGTGCCTATCATTTAAGGTAGGGGGGGAAAAGTCACCAGTTCACCACATGAAAATGATTTTTTTTGTTGTTCTATTAGCGTTTTACAAGTGACTTAAAAAGACAGAACAATCACTATACAGGATAAGACATAAACATATGTTTAGAAAACAGTTGTTCTATGAAAACCTAGTTTGGTTTTGATTGGAACCTTATGCGTAGTATTGTAACTGTATACAATTATTACTGTGTATTTCCTGCAAAAACTATAGGATTCCAAGTTTAAAAATCTGTAAAGCACAAGCACAAATTGCATATACTCACAGGTCAGCTTTATTCTACTACATTTCAACTAGGTGCATGCTGCTGATTTTAGTAAGAATGATATAATTCCTCTGCAATTCTACTTGCAAGAAAATTATGGTACTTTAAATTCACACCTGTCCCACAGACATCAAAATCTTTACATTCTGTAAATCAGAAGCATTCCTGAAAAAATGCCTAAAAGTTATTTCCTGAATCTATTCTGACGATTTATTATGGTGGGGTTTACCACCCACTGGTTCACAGCCTCTCAGAGGACCAGGCTTTCTTATCACCTGCACGCGATCATTCCATCAAGCAAGCAAAAAGAACAGAAGGCTGAGTGGCACCTTTCTAATGAATGCAAGAGCAAACGCGCAGCTAGATTCCTCACACCCTGTCCTGAAGGCTTAGACTAATGTGTTAGCAACAAAAAGAAATACAAGCTTGATGAACTATTACAGATTTGGGGAAACTGGTGATAAAAATCACATTTAGTTTGCTATCTCAAGAGGACCATTGTGTTGAACAGAGCATCATGAAAAGACAGTCAAAGACGGCAGAGATATCAGAAATGGACAGTGCTGGAGAATCTAAAACCTTAAAAGTGACTCAACTGAAGTTATATTGGTAACAAAATGGAAAATGATTCTATCTACATTAAACTAGAGATCACCAAGAAGGGAAAGATTCAGATTTAGGGTATTTTAGAACAACAGTCATATCAATTCTAAGGTGTTCTGAGAAAACTAAATTCTTATCAGTTCAGAGAATATCCAAGTATCGCAGGGACAACCGAAAGGATCCCCTGGTTCTGTACCGTAGCGGGCAGACAGTATTCTAAGGCTGGGTCTCATTTACAAAGCTCTTCACACAAACAGAGAACGTAACAGCTCAGTAGGAACAGCCTCCAATTTCACTGAATTTTGGCGGAGAGCCACAAGTGAAGAAAGTTGGATTAATCGTGAATGATTGGAAATCACAAGACTGAAATTTTGCTGGCAATCAGCAATACCCAACTAGCAGCACTAATGGCCAAACTTATCTTAAAAAGGGATACCCTTCACTAGTAAAAATATTTAAGGCTAGACATGCAAAACTTAAAACTAGTTTTAACTATTAAAGGAAAAAAAGTTATTGCAAGTATGCCAGTTTCTTATTCTTGAAGCCTGGTCTCTTCATGTTCTGCTATGTCCCATCTACACCAGCCTAGACTGCAGAGCGCTCTTCTGCCACCTGGCAGACAGAGAGAAAACAACAACTTGAAAGGTGATGGCTTATTTTCACACACAAAATAGGCAGATACAGCTTCTTAATCAAGTCCTATTACATATTCGCTATCATCTCTAAATTGACGTGTAGCTTTTTAAAGTGAATTGGGGAAATAAACTTTTCAAACTGCATATTTTAGTAAATCTCATTGCCTTGTATAGAGATACGGATGAGGCCAAACAATCAAAAATAGCACTGCTGAATAATTTCACAGTCCAGCAGCACGTAACTGAAATATATTGTACTGCCTGCTCATCTATTCAGTTGATGCAGAGAGAAAAGTATATCAAAACACTTCTCCTCACATCAACCAGCAATGGAAATGTCTCAAATTTTTATTTCTAGAACGTGGATTGGTATAGAGGGAAATAGCAGAAAGTTAAATTTGTCCTTGTCTGTGAAAATATTGGTTCTGCTAGTTCTCCTACACCAATCCATATGGCTCACCCTTTAGAAGAACGACGCCGTCTTGTGTAGCATCACTACTGAAATGCCAGATAACATTACTGTCCTGAAGCGATGGTTTACAGTATACCTGGTATACTGCGCCATCTTCTCCTTTTGCACTCATTATGAATAGTCTTAAGGAAGGAAGACTGGATAAACCAAGGCTGTAACAGCCATCTTCCTTCATGTCTTCTCTGCCTTCATCTGATTAATCAATCAATGTTTGCACAGTGCTTCGAAAAACTCACAAAGCACTATGTAAGTGTTAAGTCTTATTCATCTGCTGGCTGGAAGGGTAACTCTGAAGTCTGGATTGGCATAGTGCGAACTAGCAGAACCATAATTTACAGGTAAGAACAAATTTACCTTTCAGACTCATGACGAAGAGATCCACTTCATGTCACTCCCAAACAAGGAAGATCTGGTTCATCGCTTCCTGCTCCGGGAGATGACTTGGGAGGGTTTATCTGTGAGCAGCAGCTGCCTTCTCTGCAAGGTAAGTTGCAATCAGGAAGGTCCTGTTTGACAGGAGCACCTAAAGGTTAAGTATCGCCATGTGCCTAGCTGAACAAAGATCTCCTGGGTTAAATTATTGGCTTCTAAAAGTTTGGGATGGCATCGACATTGCCATGATTTCAGACTTGAAACTTGAATCAGGATTTTAATGGCAAAGGGATGCTACCACCCCCTGAAGCATAAGGATACTACGCTGATACCCTGTGTGTGAACGGTACCCCCACAAAAGGTAATGCCAAAGACAGGGTGCCAAACGGTTCCAAACACACAGTCCAAAGCACAGCACTGCCACCTAGCGTAAAACCCTGCAAATGCTCCCTTAGAGCAAACGATTTCTTTCTTCATTTTAATAACAAAAGAAACCAAAAGAATGAAAATATTTCAGCTCTGGATTAAACTGGAAGAAAGACTAAAAAATTCTTAACTTCAGAAAATGTGCATCGCGCTAGCAACAGAGGGGAAAAGAATAGTTACTATTAATTGTGCATTAAGTTGTACGTTAAGTAGTACTGACAAACGACTCAAAGCACTGCATGGGCTTTCACTTCTAGGAATGATTTAGGCCAATAAAACCGAGTACAGAAAAAAGTAAAAACTGTTCAGAAGAAAATGAAACTGGAACGCAGGTTAGCAGTGAGCACATTGTATGTTACTAAGCTATGAGACAATATGAAAAACATTAAATTAAGTGTTTTCCTCCTTGCATCAGCTACTGCTGTGTGTCTGATTAACGCAATTTGGAAAAAAAAAAGCTGCAAGGTGCACAAACTGTAATTCTGGCTTGGTCACAGGCTTCCTATATGACAGAAACCAAAGCGGCTTCTCTGTGTCAGCGTACTGAACTCCGAGGTGGGCACAGCTGTACTGTTGCTAGTGCGTTTCGGTAATGACGCTCAACGCTGAAGTCTGGAATGAAGGTAACAGGGAAGTACGAAAGCCACATTAAGGGCATCAAAAGACTTTGAAATTAATTCTTCTCACACAGAGAAAGAGATAGAGAGAACTTCAAGATTTAAACGTTTTAATTCTAAAATGTAACTGTTTTAAATTGAAGAGGAGATAACTCCCCAGGCAAAAAAACCACTGATCTGGGAAAATTACGTCAGACCTGAAATACTGAAGTACGCCAGGTTATTAAAAAATAATCAATAAAGCCAAATCCCACATCTTATAATTCCCTTAAATTTTCTTTAATATTGATCCCAATGTTCCCCATGAAATATCCATACGATAGACCCAGTACAACGAGATACAGATTTTATCTAATAACAAATTTAAGGGTAGATATGTCATGATTCTACTGTCAATTCAAAACCTCTGTTTCGAACAGAATAAGCTTCATATATTCCATCTTGCGGACACACACAACGTGCATGGAATCCATAACACGGACGGTAAACAAACATCAGCTACTACAAACTTTTACGAATCAAAGCAATATAGCACACAGAAAACATAGCAATAATCTTTCCAGACAGACAAAAAGAGTATTGTTTCTTTTAATTATCAACAGAGAGTGGGGGAGAGAGAGCAGGATCTCACAAGGGACTACTAATGTGTTTTCAGACTCTGACTGGTTTAAATAATATTTTTCAAAGAAATAATTATAGTAAAACTAAAAGCACATCAGACCCTTGTAACACTAACTAACGTCCACCAAAGAAGTCAAAATCTCCAAAGGAGACTGTAGGAGTTGCATTTTACTTGCACAAAAAAGGAAAAGGGGGACAGAAAAGAAACAACATTCAGGCTTCGCAGCACTGTTGCCATGCAGCTTGTGAAAATTTTCAAGGTAAAATGCGAACATTAGCACTGTATCTGTTCACGCTACTGGTGTACCACTCAACTTCATGAATGGAGCAGTAAGAAAGGACGACATAACTCATTTTAATATGGAATGTAATAGCGTAGTTTACCAGTGACCTAACTATCGTAGCTGTATCCTAACGAAGGGTGCCATACATCGTGAAGCATTTGTTGTTACAAGAGCACAGCCCACATTATCAAACAATACCTCTTGATACGTACTTATGAAATGACTTATTATAGCGCGTACATAACTGTGAAAGCAAAGTGCAAACATGCTTACTTAAGCACGTGGAATTCGATACAAATTCATGAAGCTATACTAACGCGAGGCTCTGTTCTGGGCAATAGTTAAGGCCTCTAAGCATAAAGGGTGCTATTCAGAAGGCGCCAACTGCCAAGAGCCCTCAGCTCCCACTGCTCTAGGAGTTGACAGGGCTCAGCATGAATTCCAGAACCGGACAGAAAATGTGTCTCTCTTCTCCCTTATGGACAACTTCCACGAAACAAAATGTTTGTTTTGATTGCAATTTTCATCAGCTAATTTTGGGCAAAATAAGACTTTTGTAAGAAGATGGAACACTTCAACTTCCCAAATAAAAAAAAACAAGTATGCTGATAAAACACTTTGTCAGTAAGTTTTTACTTGAGATAGAAAGTCCTGACACTATCTTAAGCAAGATCTAACAATTGGAATTTAAAAAACACATTAAAGACAGATGCTGCTAAGTGTTTTCCTCATCCTCTAGTTACCTTCTGTAACGACTGAGGACTTTTTGTTTGGAATTTTTGTAACTCTAATACAAAGAAAACCAACCTCTTTAATTTCAGATTTATAAAAAGCCTTCATTTTCCTCTATTTCTACACTACCTGGCAGCCCGACTGACAGGGAGAATCTGACTAAAAACGAAGGAAAACAATCCCAAATCCAAATATGTAACCAAAAGATCAGTTCAACATAATGGAGCAAGCCTGACTCAATTTAAAAAGCCTTTTGTAACTCTTTCTAATATTGCATGACATGGTTGGTTTGATACTCTGTAGTGCATTTGATGATTTTGCACCTTGAATGGGAGAAAAATAACTTCGCAAGTGTTTAAGAGTCCTCCTTTTAGTTTTTCCTTTCTTTACAAGAGCATGTATGATGAGAGTAACTGATAGTGTTCAGAATGGTTTTAAAGGACAGATAAAAACAAACATACCTATCTAAAAAGCAGTCATACTAACACAGTTTACAATGTAAGTTTCATAGTTGTGCTGGTTTTGGCCGGGATAGAGTTAATTTTCTTCATAATAGCTGGTATGGGCCTAAGGTTTGGATTTGTGCTGGAAGCAGTGTTGATAATTCAGGGATGTTTTGGTTACTGCTGAGCAGTGCTTGCACAGAGTCAAGGCCTTTTCTGCCCCCCACCCCACCCCACCCCACCAGCGAGGAGGCTGGGGGGCACAAGGAGCTGGGAGGGGACACGGCTGGG